AACGTGGGCCGCAGGAAGCTTCCTAAACGTTGCGACACATTATGGGCAGAATTCCGTGATTATGGAGAACGTTTTCGTACCCAGAGACAATCAACAAGTCAATGTTTGAGGCTGCTTGATGAAAAATATCTAACGGTTGTGTTGCTTAACACGCATTCTAGTGCAGATGCTCTTTTTTACTGGTATGATTTGTACCTCTTTACAAACCAAAGGTCTCAAGATAATAAGTGCAGTATATATCACGAGGACCCCTATATTTTTACACTGCTGCCGAGATCTGCACTTGTCATGCATAGCGAAATTTGATGGATACGATTTCTGCAAAGATACTCCTAACCGTTGCTGAATGGCCCTCCAAGTGAGTGTAACTCAACGGGACACCTGAGCCTCGGCTACACAGCGAGGCCGGTGCATGCGGCGATAGGTGTCGGTACTCATGCAATGTTGCACGGTCATGTGATGGCCATCATCAACAAGCGGCTGTCGGACAGGTAGCAACAAAAACTGCAGCCTGCGCAGAGCCGGCGGCGACGAATCACAGGCGGCGCCGGCGCTGCGCTCGCCGCCGGTTGGCCGCGCCGGCCGGCTAGTTTCTGCAGGTCACGAGCCGCGTGACCGGCCGGGTCGCGCCGGGTGCTCCGTGGCGCGCGCCGCTTCTGACGCCGCCGCGCCAAAATGGCCGCCTGCCGTCGGATGGCGCGGCGCCCTGTGTGTTCCGTCGTTAGTGCTATTGATGGCGCGACCGGCGCGCATACTAAGCAGCCGGCCAGCGGCGAGGCGCTCTTATCTGCTGGCAGGCGGCTGTCAATGGTGGTGGCGCAGCCGAGCGGGCGGCGCAGCCCAGGCTGATACCGGCCGCGACACGGGGTGGCCGCGTGACAGGAACCCCTCCGGGCCCCCCGGCACAGCGGGCCCGACCCTTCGCGCCACAGCGGGCCCGATCCTCCCACGACACCGGGTCTAACCTACCCTGCCACACCGGGCCTGATCTCCCCGCCACACCCGACCTGACCTCCCCACCACATCAGGTCTGACCTTCCCTGCCACACCAGGCCTGATCTTTCTGCGCAACAGCCGGCCTGATCTCGCCGCCACACCCGACCCGATCTTCCCCGCCACACCGAGCCTGACCTCTCCATCACAACGGGCCTGACCCTCCACGCCGCACCGGACCTGACCCTCCGCCACACCGGGCCCGACCTCTCCGCTAACACAGGGCCAGACCTCCCTCTCACCCCACCGAGCCAGACCTTGCCCGCCACACCGGGTCCGACCTCTCCGCTACACACCGGGCCAGACCCTCTCCCACCCCACCAAGCCAGACCTTCCCCGCCACATCGGGCCTCATATCGACTCCAGGCCAGATCTTCCCCTTCACGCCGGGCGTGCTATTAACTCTTGGCTCAATATTTTCTTTTTATTTCTGTTCGTCGTTTATTCCCTATTCTTGACAACTTTGCTGCAGCCTGAGGAGAGTGGTGATCCCAGATCCGTGTGGACCACGCAGCGGGAGGCAGTCCTGTACCCCGTGAATGCAAGCGGCACTCTGGCCGATATGTGGGGCAGCATCTGAACAACGAACCTCCAGATAGGAGGCTAAAAATCCAACTTGGCTGATGGCTCACTCTCAGGCAAAAAAGAGAAGTTTTAACTCCCAAATCCTTACCGTTCTCTCTGTTTGACGACATCTTCGACAATCAGAAGCCTGAGCCTGATCAAGAAAATCTGAGAGAAACTGTATATCTTTATCACAAATTGAATCGACGAATAAATACAAGTTAAATCCCTATAGATCTTTATCAATTTTAAGTCAGCAGAAAATGTTGCAGATCATGTCAAATGGATGACTCCTCGAGACCCTTAATCACAAACCTCACCACGACAGCGTGGGTAAGATATCACAACTGAAATGGTCGAACGACGAGCACATCAAAATACTATCAACCAATCATCGATGAATTTTTTTACTGACTTCTGCTCAGTGCGCAACAGCCTCTAGTCTTTTTGATGACGACAGTGCAGATGATCTTCACCGGGCCCCCAGCCCACAGGAAAGCTGAGAAGTGACCTCGGTAGCATGCCTGACTCATCTCATCTGACATCACGACTCATCATCACTGACTCTTACCCACCGGCGACAGCTCTGAGGGCGGAACGGAGGCCGAGGGCCCGACTCCAGTGCGATGCCGCACCTCCCACGGCGAGGACGTCGGCCGGAGTTGGCTGGGTCACCGTCCTGCAGGCCACTGGCGGGTCACCCTGCTCAGGGACCACGGCGACCAGACCTCGCCAGCGGCCTGGCGTCGGACACGGCAGACCAGCCTCCGACCTCAGCCCCATACGTGAGCAGCTCCTGCGGCCCCTCGGCCCTCTTCCACCTGCTTGGAAAGTTTGGTCGGCGTCCGAGGCCTGCGGGAATATCCAACAGCTGGTTACCGTTCACGACAATGCCTGCGTGCTCAGGACTGTACAGCCTGTACAGCTCTTGCTGTTGATGACACATTCTGAGGACTTCCAGCCTGCCGAGGAGACGCTGGAGGTCGGTTTTAACGACGCCGTGATGCGGACTGGGAGCTGCCTCGCTGGCGACACTCGAACCGACCAGTCGAGCCGGCACTCGGGTCCCGACCTCTGCCCGCGAGCTCTGAAGCACCGGGCAACGGGCCAGCGACACGCGCGGAGGTAGTTGCCCGGGGTGGGTACAGCAATCCCAGCCGCCTTCCTGCAGCGCCGGCGCATCGAGTCCGTCCGCGGGGCACGTCGCCACCTCAGCCCCCGAGCTGCTCGGTGACGTCCTCGGGTGGGCGCCGCTGGTCACGCCAGCCGGCACCCCACGGCGTGGCCTGTCGAGGTCACGGTGAGGAATGATGGTGTGCTGGGCTCGTAGCTGGCGTCGTCCGAGCTGGTGGCTGGAGTAGAGCTGTCGTCTGCCGCGATATGCCGCATCCGTTTCTTGTCGCCCCGTTCCTGGGAAAGTGATGGAACTCACAGGTTGTAACAGACTGGACCGCGCCAGGCGACAGACATGTCAGTCGTCCTCAAGCGCCATGTATGATTCTTTGCATTAGCGCAGAGCGCTCTCACATTTGAACCAACTTAAGAGCACAATGTTTACGGCTATAGCATACACGTGAAATTTATCACTGACATACAATAACCGAAGTACCCTGTCTGTACTTGCATAATCGTTACGCACTTAGCTTTCAGCGGCATCATTGGTCGCAATGGATCTTACTCTGGCTCCATAGTGAATGGTTCAACTTTTCCGGTCATCGAAGTTCATATGTAAACTTGTCTGCTTTGAATTGTTTGGTATTGATATCCGGCTTTGAAGCCAAAAATGGTATGACTTGCACGGAACTTTTGCCGTGGCGTATTGTTCCATCTTCTATTAAAGGGGAATGTTTCATGTTTGAAGATATCTAAGCAAGCTTCAGATATGATGAAATAAGCTCACTTTAACTAGCAATATGCTTTTTACGTAGAAGAGACTGCTTTTAACAGTACGGTTTTCAGTGTGGTAATTATGCTCCTCAATGCGTCATGGCTTGATCACGCCATCGTATCTAGCATAACATCGATTGAGAACCAGTTGACGGCCGTTATATCTGGAAATCGTGCTCACGAAAGCCAGATACGAACGCCTTGACAATTATACTTTTCTTGGTTTTGATCGCCGCAGGTATGATGGAAAGGTAAGATCTGAATGAGGTTTTTATGACGTCATCATTGCCGAGGTGACTGAAATGCACTCCGCGATATGCCTTTCCCCATTTTCGCCAGCATATAGCTCAGAAACCAGAGGGGCTTAGGATTTCACTGAGTCAATCAGCTGAAGGTCAAACCACTTACGACACTAGGCTCCTGGAGAATATCAAGGGGGTCTGAAACACTGGCCGTGCTGTAGTTCTGCTCTTATGCAAAATATACTTTTTTGGCTGAGAACATATTCCAAGATTCAGCTTTCGACGAGTTGACTGTCAGTCATCTCAAACTATGCAACGAATATGGCTCTGCTTGATGACGCCATAAAAAGTGATGGCAGGTGAAAGGATCTAGTGTCACAACGTGGTCACACTCAACAAATAACTCAGGCTAACAGACATGCAGATCTGTTCGTCTTTTTCTCTTGGCTAGGTACATCTCAAGGTCATATTTATTACGGACGTTGGGTCTGCTCAGCTTGGCGTCAGTTAAGATCATGGCATCATTGTACACATAATTATTTCTACTGAACTTCTTCTTCCCTGGCTGTTACAGGAAACGTTACAAAATAGTCATGCATTGACATTTGGCTATAGATCTCGATCGAAACAGTTTGCGACAGCTTGCAAATGAATGGATGGGCATATCGTCTTTTAATTGTACTGTGTCAACAACGAACTACCACCAGCATGAATGTCGCCAGAGTTGGTGCAGATCTTTTTAAATAAACGGCTCGAAAGAACTGAGCCGAAGGAAAATGTCTTGTTCAATACATTGCATTAGCAAATACCTCACCTCTAACTGATTAAATGGATTTCGTCTCTTGTTTCACACACGACTCTCTCCTTACGCTCAGTTGCCTCGGCAAAGCTTGAGCTTCTCATTGAGTTTTTTTTTCGTTGCATTTGGTACGCCAGTACCAAGTATAGTAGCTCCTAACATAATCGCCATAATTTTGGCCATGGCACCGCAGCGATCTAAGAAAACCGTACCAAACTGGCAACAACTCTGCTGCTGGTCATCTGTGGAGGTGATCAGCTGCGCAGTTAAGTTGGGAAGGTTTTTAGAAGGACCGATCGCTTTGATGTGCAAGAGATGCAGACACCGTTCTTTTGCTGTCACTATTAGCAAACAAACTACGCCTATTGTCTAGGATGGCGACAGAAAAACGAGCAACTGCCGTTCTCATCAATACACGAGGTGCGCGGGATATACATTAGTGCCATGCGTCACACACCCAGGCTGAGATACGGTTCGGGGCAATGAACCTCACGCCCGGACTGACCACAAGCCGGATGCAATCAGAGTGGAAGCAGCCCAACGGCAATGGTCAGATGCAGATCAATCCGCTGCAGAATACGGCCAGTCAGCACGAGCCAGCTCAGCGTCCAGCCCCGCCCGGCCGGCCGGTCGGCGCTGCTGTGACGCCATGTGGTGCGGGCAGAGGCACCGCCGCACGCCAGCTGGCATTCATCAGCTGGCACGGGGTGACGCCCTCCGCGGCGATCGTGTACGCCCCGAGCCACGCGGCCGGTCGGCGATAGCAGGCCGCCTCACAATGAAGCGGTCCCGCCCGACGGGCCGAATTTGTCACCGCTTATCTTTCAATTCACCTGCCCACCGGTAATGACCAGCGGGGCGCGGCCATACCTCAGCCAGTCAGCCGGCGGAGCGGTGCCATACGTGAACGTCAGCAGCTGCCGCGATCGACGCCGCCGACAAATCGACGCCGCTCCGTCGGCGCGGCCGGCCATTTTCGCGTCCAGCCGCCGATTGCAGGCGCACACCGCGGCCTATCTCGGCCAATCAGACGGCGAGGCGGCGGCGGCGGCGCATGCGTAAGCCGGGGGACGGCGGCCGGCGGGGCGGGAGCGGCGGCCGCGGCCAGCTACCGTCCCGGCCGCCTCTCAGTCGCCGCCCGCTGCCGCCGGGGCCGGTCACACGCCGCGCCGCTCCCCGTCATGACGTCACCCGCGCCACTGCAGCCGCCGCCGGCCGCCGCGTCGGCGTTCTCGGCCGTGCCGGCGGCCGGTGCGGCGCCGCCGTACGGCCTGACGGCGCTCGAGTCGTACCTGGCGCTGCAGCAGTCACTGCGCTCGCAGCGCCTCCTCTCCACCTTCTCGCAGATGGCCGACCTGAGCAAGGCCCGCAGCGCCGCCGCCGCCGCCGCTGCCGGTAAGTTTGACTTCGCGCGACTGGCCGAGTCGGCGACAGAGGCGACGCCGACCGGGCGGCGGCCGCCGCTGCTGCCCGCCTTCCCGGCGCTGGAGCAGTACCAGCCGCTGCTGCTGCCCGCCCTCTTCCCCGGCCTGGGCCTTCCCTTCACGCGGCGGCCGGCACCAAGTCGCGGCCGCGCCGCCCGACCGAAGAAACAGTTCATCTGCAAGTACTGCCAGCGCCACTTCACCAAGAGCTACAACCTGCTGATCCACGAGCGCACGCATACGGACGAGCGGCCGTTCTCGTGCGACATCTGCGGCAAGGCCTTTCGCCGACAGGACCACCTCAGGGACCACAGGTAAGAACTGATGCTCTCAGCACCATCTCAGAGACCATAGGTAAGCTCAGGTGAGCTCGGGTGAGAACTGGTGCATGAACCAGTCAGATGGGAACTCCTTTATAATACAGGTCTAACTCAGAGACCACAGGTGAGCATTGGCATCAGCAAAACTATCCCGTGCACCAGAGACGAGACTCGTATCAGCGTGATTAAAGCGGGATCACAGGTGGAAACAGCTGTTCTCAAGGCCTTCCGAACAAGCACAGGCGAGAACAGATGCACCAGTATCACCTACCCCAGGGGGGGGGGGGGGCCGCAGGTGACGGATGCTGTCCACAGGACCACCCCAAGGGGCCAGAGACCAGAGATGTTGTCCTCAGGACCAGAGACAAGGGCTGTTGTCCTCAGGACCAGAGACAAGAGCTGTCGTCCCCAGGAACACTTCAGGGACCTAGACAAGGACTGTAAGAGATACACTGCGGTCTCCAGAGCCATCTCAGGGCCTAGAGACGAGGGCTGCTGTCCCGCAGAAAGCAGTTGTCATCTCCCCGATACAGCAGTCCTCCGCGGGGCTGGCAGTCGAGCCCGACGCTCATCTGGAGCACAGGAGGGAGGGCACATGTATGTAACGTCATCCAGTCGTGCGGCTACCCTGGTCTGTTCTCTGTGGCATACGTCGACAGGCAATGTGAGACGACCATGCCTCCTGCATGGTAATTTGCCGCGGTGAGATCCGCCCAACTGAACACGGAACCTTGCCTGCATAAACAGCAGCGTCGGTTTAATTTGCGGCGCGCCTCTCACCATTATCGGCGCTTGCCTGCCAATACTCGAACAATCTATCGTGTAATCGTGCCCCGAGCTATCATTGGGATGGTCTGTAACGTAATTAAGCTAGGTGTAGCCAAGGCAATCCTTATCACGTACGGATGAAATCACGGCCAGGGTGCAGTACCGTCTGGCCGCTGAACTTCTTTGTCCGGTACTTCATTTAGTCACGTGCAGCGTACTTACTGAATACGTGATGCCTTGATTTGAATATGAAGACGCTACCTTCATGGCTATCTGTATTAGCATGCATCCACTTCTGCCCTGTGTCCATTGGCGTGTTTTGAATCGAATTGTGTAGCGGCGATGGTTTGCATGCAGTTTGATATCCAGGAAACGGAAGCTCTCAGTCGAATCACGGCAGCACCTGGCGTAACCACATCCGCCTGAGTAGGAGTCGAGGACCCGGAATCCGCAGCACCTTTGTATTCCTGGAGACATCACATCTGCCAAGACGCAGGCCTGTCAGTACCTGCGAGCATGATCCGGCCTTCTTGCAGTGTCCGACCTCTCCCTGGAATAGGGCCGCATTTACAGCTCTTGGAACAGCACGTAGTTGGTCTCGTCAACGGAGGGACCACCCAATTGATTTTTAAATGGCAGGTGGGACGCTTAAAACGACTCATAACTTGGCTGGCCAACGCGCCGCCATATATCTGCAGCTTTCATAATTTATCAATATCGTTGCGGGATGGAGAATAAAAGTGTGCCTTGCAGGGATCGTTCGGCACACAATACGTCAGTGATTTAGTCATCGTAAATAGAGCTTTATGCTTCGTTAAATCACCTCCGCATTTGACTTACGCCCAATAAATGCTGCCAGCAACAATAAACCGGCTGGCTAATCACTGCCGAGAATAACATTGTAACATCCCCATCAATGATGTTTATTGCGAATTTAGTGGCCATACGTTGGGCGGCGGGCATGCCGCCGTGGCGGCCCGACGCCGCAGCAGCTGGGCGGAAGGTGATGCAGATGAGCGAGGCACTGCGTCACGCCGCTCGCGGGTCACGTGTGTCACGTGTCACGTGGGATCTGTGTGGGTGGCGCGGCGCTGCGGGATGGACGCTGGTGGGCGGGGAGTTTCAGACGCGCTGTCTCGGTGAAAACGGGCGGAAGTGACGTCACAGCTGCTGAGCGTGACCTTTGCCATCGTCGTCGCGTGTTGCATACACCACAGATGTGGTCGTGCTGCATTGCTGGATAATGCACATGAACGTAGGCTAGATACTGCTGGAGAACTGCTGACTCCATGTCTGCCAGCACAAGTTGCACCACATGCAGGCAGAAGGAGCGATGGAGGGAGGTAGGAAGCGATGTTATACAGGGTGAGAGACGGAAAGGGCAGACAGGGAAAGCGAAAAAGGAAAAGAATATGAAAGAGAACGAGAAAGAAGGATCGAATAATGATACATATGTATATATATATATATATATATATATATATATATATATATATATATATGCATAGGGTAAGGGAGAGCTAGAGAGAGGAAAAGGCGGAAGGGATAGCGAGAGAGTGGAAGTGAAGGGGGAGTGACGGAAACAGACACGTTGTTTGCAGCGGTTCTCGTAACACGGTCAGCTTCTAACAGCGTTGCCCTCCCTGTCCACAGGTACATCCACTCGAAGGAGAAGCCGTTCACTTGCGGTGTGTGCGGCAAGGGCTTCTGCCAGTCGCGCACGCTGGCCGTACACAAGATCCTGCACATGGAGGAGTCGCCGCACCGCTGTCCCACGTGCAGCCGCAGCTTCAACCAGCGCTCCAACCTGAAGACCCACCTGCTGACGCACACCGACATCAAGCCCTACTGCTGCACTGACTGCGGCAAGGTGTTCCGACGGGCGTGCGACCTGCGCCGCCACGGCCTGACGCATACACTGGGCCTGGAGGAGGCCAGCGACGCGAGCGAGGAGGCGGCGGAGCCGGACGGACCGCGCCGCCGCCCGCTGCCGCTCCAGCAGCACATGTCGCAGGACAAGGCGCAGCAGCTGGAGGCCGCCCGCGGCGCGCCCGCGCCCACCGTGACGGCGAAAGTCGCCAAGTTCAGCATAGAGTCGCTCATGTCGTAATCCGGCGACAGGCGGCCGCGCTGTAGGCGGGCCCGGTGGTGTAACCGTAACGGCCGGTGCCTCGCGATGGAGCGTTCCCCGACGTGCGCGAGGAGTCGGACTCGTCCTGCCCGCTGGAGCAGGCCAGCCTGTACAATGATGAACTCTGATGTACATAGCTCGACCGCGACGCGCCGGCTGCGTCATATGATGAGAGCCCTTCGTGTTACATGGGCTTGTACGTCTTCACTGGTGCGCGAGGACGACACTTGCCATCGGCCATGATATTTGAATGTCAGCGGCATCCAGCTCAACGTGTGGAACGGCTGACCGAGACGTACATGATGCCATTGTCCTCGCGCGAAAATGCTCAGTGTTTTGAATGCACCGTCAGCAAATGTGATTGTTCTATTTCCATTGAAATGTTCGTGAAGATAGGCCTTGTTAAAGTCTTTTATGTACGAAAAATATGGGCATTGCCTCGTGTTGACACCTAATTGAAATGTATTACGAAACAGCTCATTGTTGTAGCTACAATAGATTGTATTGCCATGACTAGCGCACCTAAATAAAGTTAAAATTCGTATCTTAGAGATGCCAAATCTAGACTTAACAAACCTACGGTATTGCAGGTAACTTTACTCTAAATTCATTCGGAATACTGTGACCAAGGGCACAGATCACAAATGTTTCTTTCAATACTCTCTTTGAAACCATTTGTGTAGCTGGCTTTTCTCTAAAAACTAGCTGCCAGGTGGATGTTGGTTGCGTAAAACAATTGCTGTCATGGCTTAAACCGGTGCGATGTTGTGCACTCAGTGCCTATCACGCGAGTCCACGTCCAGTGCACGTATTCGCATATGCAACATGGTCTCTGAGCATCTCTTCAAATAAAAACAATACCTCTCTTGGTAAAAACAGTACCTCCCTAACTAAGCAAACGACTGCATCAACAGACTGAACAGCTAGCAGCAGCTAACAGTTATAGCATGGTTGTAGATATTTTTGCTCATGTTGCTTTTGATATAGTATTTTGGCACTCCGTTTTTCGGGTTACTAGAGAGAGAGGCAGAGGGCGTGGGGAACCGGTGAAGAGCAGGAACTCGGCGAATGATATGTAGCCAGCGAGGAAAGGAAGTCAGTAGGGGGAGGAAGCCGGCGAGGGACAGACATGGAGATGGACCAGCGAAGGGGGATTAATATGGGGAGGAGGGGGGGGGGGGGGCAGCAAAGGTAGTCAGCGAGTGAGCAAGCCAGCTTAGGACTTGCGTGAGGCAATTCCTGACGGGACACTGCAAACTTGGCAGAAATAATTCCAGAGATAACAGGTTTTCCGCTCGTGCATTGCACGGTTTCGCGTTTATGGACAAAGTCTTGCTACCAATGCACCGCAAATGAAAATGAAACGTGCACAAACACTAAACTTTGAATAAAGCTGGTTCTTTTTACGCCATGGGAAACGTCACCAAACGTCCCTAAATTAATGCTCCGGTGAAAAATGACCTTATCTCAAATATTTACAATACACCCGACATTAATTGAACCTGCTCCATTGAAAATAATTACTACATATGCGTCAAAGCTTCAGCACATTTTCACTCAATAGTTGCGTATGCTTCGCTGTAAATTTAAGCATTATGCCATAACCTTTGGTCATTCATGCAAGACAATGAATTCAGCACACGCTCAAAACGGTGCGCACAAATAGGGGTTTTACGTATGCCTCATTTGTCGGAAGTGATAGCCTTTAAGATGTAAGATGTTGTTGTCTCAGCGCTTAAAGATCATGGATGTTTCCCCAATTTATTATGCATAAATCCTCTTCCTCTCATCTAATTCGCAGCGTTTGCAGCTATAGAACACACGCTCTCTGTCCACGCCGTGCATACGATATCGTCTGGTTCTCTGTCCATGCCATGCTCACGATGTCCTCTGGTCCTCTGTCCATGCCATGCTCACGACGTCCTCTGGTTCTCTGTCCATGCCATGCTCACGATGACCTCTGGTTCTCTGTCCATGCCGTGCTCACGACGTCTTCTGGTTCTCTGTCCATGTCGTGCTCACGACGTCTTCTGGTTCTCTGTCCATGTCGTGCTCACGACGTCCTCTGATTCTCTGTCCATGTCGTGCTCACGACGTCCTCTGGTTCTCTGTCCATGTCGTGCTCACGACATTCTCTGATTCTCTGTCCATGTCGTGCTCACGACGTCTTCCGGTTCTCTGCCCATGCCGTGCTCACGACATTCTCTGGTTCTCTGTCCATGTCGTGCTCACGGTGTCCTCTGGCATTTGGTATGCGGTGCGTAATGTGTACGCGCATTACGCTAACACTAAACAAAGGGTGACGTCGATGCCTTTGCTGGGTTGTGCCGATTGGCAGCCTTCCTTGCTTTTGCAAACGGCTTTGTTCCAGTATCCCCACAGGCAGACATTTGGAGGATCAAGTCTGAGGAGTGTGTTAACTCCTAATGTTTTGAAGCACATGCACACCACTCTTTCTCCGAAGGACCATGCCATTTTAAGGTGCTGGCGAGGTGGCGGTGGAGGCGACGTCTTATTCTGTTGAAAACACTTTTGCTTTTCTGTTACGTCCTTTCCTGCTCACATGAACTTACAGGTTTCTTACCTGTCAAAAGTACTATGAGGTTTATATCCCCATTGCGTGAGCGCACAATAATCATAAAAGATCTACAGGCAAAGCATACCCACAGTCGGCCTCCAAACTCGAAAGATTTCCTGCATTGCCATGCAATTTGGCACCAGCCTTTTGGTTCCGGTCTCTTGGAATATTTTGAAGGTTGAACTAAAAATGAATAAAGGTTTTTGAGAGGATATATTATTAAGTTACGGTAAGGTAATCAATATTTCAGTAACTGGACTTAATTAAACGAAGTCAGGCTATTAAGATCAGGCTAAGTTTGAAAACATTAGGCTGCCAAAGCCATTTGAACAAATGCGTTCGATTGTTTGGCCGTGTGACACGTGCACCATATGTTGATCTTGGATATCTACCAGCTTTGAGATTTACGTCACAACATATTCAATCCTACAACGCGACCACATCAATAACAAAAAAACAAACCAAAACGCCACGACTGCACGGATTCATTACCCATACCGGGCCTCACAAGACTGATGCATTCTATTTGGCAGTAGCTCACAATCCAGTGCAGTAACAACCATACTTGTATTATTCAAATGTCGAAGATTTCATATTACTTTTTCCCTATTAATGTTCCTTTCAATCAGTCTATCACCACACCCTCTACAGCACGTGCTCTTGGTGTCACCCGTTCCGGCATGAACACAATACTACGACTCATACGCTGGTTACAGAGCTGCGTTCGTTTAAGTGTCCTGTTTTGGCACGTCCTCTTTGGCCTTCCATCACCCTCCGACACTATACAGTTGCTAATGACCACACAGCTTCTCTTTCTGCCCGTTTCAGCAACTGCCGGGCCTGAGATTCCTTGCATAAACTTCCTCTTCATATGAATCAAGCAGAGGTAGCCTGGCGGACTCAAACCAGAAATGTTCGCCGTCACTGATGCTCTGTAGTCTGTTAAATCACTCGCGCCTCAAACTGTTCTTGGATTACATTTATGTTGTCGCACAATTTGTGAGGAGACTCACTATCTTGTTGAAACCATTGGGTGGTGGCAGTATCCGGACATCTCTTAAGGTCTACAGAAAGCGCTGAAAGAGCAGTCCTCTGTATCTTTTTGCGGCCATGGTCTCAGTGCGCCCCTGTCCCAAGCCGAAGGAAGCTCATGATGGCGAACTCCTGATCGCACAGCAGGATGTGCGCTTGGTTCGTGCTTTGTGTCTTGTGTTTTTTTTTCTTGCTTGTGACTTTCTAGATCACATGCGGTGCACTTGAGGAACAAGAGCGGTTGATATTGCTGTTGATGTGGCTATCCAAATACAAATGAACTTTGCCGCTGAAACAAATGCTGTGTAAAAACGTCTCTGGTGACTCGCTCTTAGCAATGAGCATGTGTGAAAAACGTGACTCGGTCCTGTATGTTCATTTTGATACCAAGTTTCCGTTTGACTTAGATCTTACATGCAAAGAGGCTGAGATGTCCTCTAAAGATTTTCCCCGCTGTAGTCAGGCTGCAGCCAAACTTCAGAGAAAGGCACCTGGCGGAGTTCTGGAGATTTCTGGTGGTGAAAGCCTTGGCCTTTCGGACCCCTTCTTTGGTTCTAGCTTTTTCCACTTGAACTCTACTTGGGCTCTCCACCCATCATTGTCCTATAGCTTTAATATCAAAGCTCAGTATCATGTTTCGGGTTCGCACTTTTTTGGTTTCAGAGTGTTAAGAAGTTCACACTGGCTTTGAGCTGGAATCATGGGTATCATGTCAAGGATGCAATTTCAAAAATTTTGGCTCTATGAATACTGCTGTAGGGAAGCATGATGCAGACGTATATCAACTGGCACATGGTCGGTAAATAAAGCCGCCATTATACGTGTTCTTGTTTCGAACAAATGGTGCTCTGTTTTGGTTACAGTGGGTCTGCTAAAGTATTTACTGTGTCAGATTTTACGAGTCACTCGGCATGGCATGGAGGCAAATCCTTCCGCAGGGTTTTGCGCTACTCTTTGTTGTGGTACTGAGTGACGATGTCCATCTGCTGCACTAACTTCACGGTAGAATATTCATGAATCCCACTCCAAGGCCCGAGTTTTCAGAATGGCGAAAGGCATTTACCACATCTGGTAACCCTCGTAAACGAGAGCGTGGAGCAATTATAGAAATGATTCCACCGTGCTATTCCCCATTACCCTTTCCAATTATCACTGACCTTCGAGCCTGGGCACCGAAAAGAGGCCATTTAAGCTTTAGAAATCTCTAATTTGATTCTTTTTCCGCCGATAATTATGGGCCGAATCAAGGGTGCCTAGTGACCTGATAGCTATCCTTCTGTTGAGCACACCGAGCCGGCACCACGCTGCGCTATAAAGACGTCTGGGTCTAAAACTATTCATCTTTTTTACCCCTTCGCACAATTACAGTCCTACGCGGGCCGAGCCCAATTATGATCGTTTCGGTGATCGTAAACCATTGGAATGGCAATGGTCTGGGCCACGGTGGCGGGGGCCCGGGCACCCGTCTCCGTTTACCGCTCCCGAACCGCGCTCTGTCAATGCGCGCAGACCGCAAAGTGACACACGAAACGGCGCTCTTTCCGCAGTCAATTTGTCAGTAATTGACCTGCGCCCACGGTCACACCCAGCTCTTCCGCACGAGCCCGGAGCGGTCACAGGTTGCGGAATGTGGCGTGGCTGGAATGCGACCACGGGGAGTGCGGTCAAATGGTTTTACATTTTGCCACACTTATTATCACGCTCTCCAGAACTGGATCAGTGACTGTAATGCACAATCACGCAAGCATGGGGTACTTAGATTTGTCGGCATTTGTATGTCCTATTCGTGTCTTCTGTCAGTTGATGTCTTATTTTCATCAGTCTGAATCCAAGTCTTATGCAGCACAAGTGTACAATAAAGCTGGTGTCGAGCTGGAGCGGCGTGTCCGTACCCTGTTTCGAGAGCCCGCTCCACCAAGGGTGATCAAGTCAAATAAAAACCGCAGGTCGACAGTGACTTTCGATGGTGTGGCGATAACCTAAGGACGCAAGAAGTTCGCTCACAGCCATGTAAATGGCCAATCATGGGCTGATTAGACCTATTATTAAGCAGCGGCAAACGGCGGTAAAAAGCGTGCGGGCTATCCCACCACTAACGCTCGGCATCGATACTTGGATCAGACAACCGATCCATGCCGGCAATCAACCTTCCACAGTCCCTGGAGGACCCCCTGGTTAGCCACGCGCATCTACACCAAGCCGACTGGGGCTCTCAATGTACAAGAAAACAGCGCTTGTGCTGCTCGTCATTGAAGGTCGATT